AGATCATGTCAACTTCACTTAAACTCTTCACACCACTGTACTGTCACTGGCCGACCTTCAGCTTTACTTTCAAGCGTGGATACCTAAAAACCCTGATAAAATGGTTTTCTGTGAATCGAGAGAGCTGTAGCAGCAATGACATGATCTATAAACTATTTGGTAGTGTTAAGAAATTAGTGATGAATGAAGTCTGGTTTTTGAAAGCACATTGACTATGTTGGGCTGTCTGGAAAATGTATAATGAGATTTTCCAAAGTCTCCAGAAACTTAAAAGTTTTCGAGTTTTTAAACTGGTTTCTAAATGTTTTAATTGAGTGTACAGTATAGTTCTGGAGTCGTGCAATCGGTTGGTATTATTTTAATTAATTGTACATGTTTCTGGAAAAATCTGCTGCTAAACGTCAAAATCCTCCGCTGGAAGATTCGACTTTTCAATGTATTTTAAGTTTTTCTTAATGAGGTCCAGGTTTTGAAATAATTCAGTAATGTGTACAATAGGTAAAATCTGATGGTGAATATTGTACAGTTATCAATTTTTATTGTACACATCCTGCAAAAAATATTAGCCTAAATTTCTAAAATCTACTGCTAACTTCACCTACATGAAAAATGTCCTTATTGAAAATGGTAAGATTGTAATCTGACTTTTATTTGTCCTTAGTAATGGCAGACAGAATAATATATCAGTTTAGATTTCTGATTCGATCCAAGCGAATGTGGATCTGGGCTGCACATTTACCCAACTAAAGCAAATTTCTCATTATGGTTCGTGACGTTCATGCCGAACAATGTATGTTAGATGATCAGACGGACTTCATTGTTCTCGTCGTTAAACTTATTAGTTTCCGAGAAATAAATAACTTTGGATAATCGTTAAGAGTTGGTTCGACAAACGTCGAAAAATAATTAAATGAGATCGTGGTTGATAGCTTAATAAGTAGTGGTAGAGAGAGTTAGGAATCGAATTTACCGGATGGAACAAAGTATATCTTGAAGTCGGACGCACTAAAATATGCTGTAGAAGCTAATACTATTCTGAAAATAAGAAGAAACAGATATCGTAAAAATCTAAGCGAGATTAAAGACATGATTGCCTTCGCTGCCCTCCTTAGGCTGCTATTATTAGCAGATTCTTCCAGTTACTGCGTGCATTTTGATATTTTTCTAATGATCTTCACTTGTCAAGGAAATTATAGTATTTGTCGTTTAATGATTTTTCGCATGTTCAGAGACACTTTTCTTCAACGATACATAATCTCTCAATGAGATGTGTGCGTGTTCAAGCACAAGCGGAAGCGAACTAATGAACATAATTATACAAAATATGATTCTTCACAACAAGGAAAGCAATTCACATGAAAAATAAATGTTATAACTAATTTAACTGAAAAACCTTGTAGTGTTTATGAAAATGTGGCATGAAATAAAGGAATGATGAGAAGAAACAAGTAAAATTAACCTATTGCCTTGTTTTGAGCCTAAAAAATTAAAGAAATTTGAACAATTCTTTCGCGGTTGTGTATTTTGCAGATAAGAAACTTAGTGTATCTGCTCGGTGTAACCGAACATGTGACTGCTTTTTCGTACAGAAAAGCTCAGCATTGAAAACTTACTGCTCGCAGTCCTCGAGCAGTAAGTGACAGTTTAAGTTTCCAATGCTTGATCTTTTCTGTAGGGAAAACGCGGTTGTGAAACAAAATTTAATTAATTCAAACGAGCTGGGTTAAAAATATAACATGCGACGTTTGCTTGATAAGGTTATTTTTTAACCAAATTTTTTCGTTTCTTTCGGATAATATAAATACTTTATCAATCGGAGCTGATCTGTGTATGTCATAAAGAACGCTTGATATTGTAATTTCATGTTTTTCCTTCGGTCTTGGACGAGCAAATTTTTTCAACTTTAAGGAGACGTCTTAAAAAACTGAAAATAAGAGAGGATAGTCAAACGATATTTGATGCTCGAGAGGAGTTAGGAACAGTATGGTGAAGAAACGTTAACTGTGTGAATATGATCAATATGTATTATGATTGACCACTTGACCACTTGACCACTTCAAGTTGTATTTATGTTCTGTTGTCTTGTTTTGTTTATTCGACAATAGTGATAGCAGAAAATCAGTAATAATTGGATATGTCTGAACACCTACTAATACAAACACTGCCAAAATATTACTAACCACATAGGTTGTATACTGTTTTGGATCATACGTTGTCGTCATACGATAAAATGTTGTCGGACAATATGTAATCGTAAACCAGATGACATAAAGAATTATATGAATTGTTAATTTTTTCAATGGCTTTGTCTGTTTTTCAGTGCTTTTTTCATAACTTAATAAACGATACATTAGTGCAACTGTTGCAAGTATCATAACTGACATTGGTACAATAAATGAATATATAAAGCTATAACGAGTTTAGTATCACGAGTAAAACAAGCCACACACGCAACATATGGACATTGTGGAAGAAGAACAAATAAAATTGTAACAAATAAATTCAATGCGAACTTTAGCGTAAACCTTAAAAATTGTTGTCTCAAAGTAAATGTTGATGTATTTTTATGAAACATGACAAAGCGCCGTTCAACACTTACCCACGCTAGGGAACAAGCAAATCCCGAACCTGATGACCAAATACAGATGGAATGTATATTACAAAATATACTTGACTGTTGTAGATACCTAAAGAATAACCAAGAAAAACTTAGTGTATCGTAAATACCCATTAAAAAAGAGTAAATAAGTGTATAATAAAAGATGTAAGTGGAATGTTGTTCAATGGGTGATTGTCGCAAAAAGCGAATGATACATAAAATTGAAAATAAAATACCGATAAATGAACAGATTGGAAATATAATAATATGATATAACTGAACAACATACGTAAGAGATATAGTAGCTGAATTTGTTATTAGCAGATTCTTCAATGCAATGCATGCAGTAACTGGAAGAATCTGCTAAAAATAGCAGTCTAACGAAGGCAGTGAAGGCAATCATGTCTTTAATCTCGCTTAGATTTTTACGATATCTGTTTCTTCTTATTTTCGGAATAGTTATTAGCTTCTACAGCATATTTTAGTGCGTCCGACTTCAAGATATACTTTGTTCTATCGGCCAAATTCGATCCCCAACTCTCTCTAATCATTTTTGAGGAGTTCATTTGAAAGAAGTCAACATTATCAATGCACAGTGCATATAATTTTGTCAGCAGTCGACTTACTCGTTGTAGACATGGGGCGCTCTAAAAAGCTTGTTATTGCTGTGACGAAATGAAAAAGCAGATTGAGTAATACAGTGTTATTCAATGATACATAAATTAACCCTTTAACTGTTATATTTTTTTTAACAAAATTAAACAACAAACGTCAAACAAATAAAATTTTAGTAATTTAAACCGTAATAATTGATGCTGTCTCTACGTTCAGACATACAGGTAGATCGCGTATGATATATATAGAAGATAGTTCTACTATTGAGGAATGCTGCAAATAAAAAATTAAAATAAATGAATTTAGTCTTTTGTGACGTACCGGATGGGTCATAAAAAATGAGCATCTTAGTATTTTCTGGTTTTCTCATGTTTCTTTAAGACATTAAGGTTAACATTTTTTTAAAAGATACGCAGCGAAATACTTTACAAAATTATACCTGAACTTTAATTTTACAACTTCAATGGAGAAAACTAAGCAAACTATACGGAAGACGAAAATAATGAAAATTTTCTAAAGTCAAAAACGATTTCGTGTGTTAACGTTTTGAAAGTAAGAAAAAGTGAATTAGCCATTTTGTAACCCTGACTTCACCCTATCTCTCAGTTATACATCAAATGTTTTCACATCGAAACTCACGGTGAAATAATAATTTTTCTATCGACTGTCTTGCATTTTTTCATTAATTATTAAATTCTGCATATGATGGTGCTCTCAGTAAAAGTGTCATAATTCCAACAAAATAAAAGATTTTTTGATCGAGTTTGAGCACATTGTTGAAAACGGGGAGGTTGCAAATTTTTAACATATTTTTGAAAGTTCATTCTCGAGCACACCACCTGCTCCAAACCTTCTTTTATAGTCCATGAGAAAGCACATTTGAAAGTACCAAATACAAACTCCGTTGTCACTTTTGCTACACTTTTTTACGGCAATAATAGCAGAAGAAAAAGTACAAGTCGAAAAGAATACCAACTTTACAAAGTTTTCATTTATTCTGCCTCTCGCCTAATTTGAGTAGTTTTCTTGATTGAAGTTTTGAAATTAAAATTTAGGTATAATTTTGTAGAGCATCTCGGGGCGCATCTTTTAAAAGAATATTAATGTCAGGGTCTTAAAGAAATATGAGATCAATAGAAAATACCGAGAGGCTCATTTTTTGTAGCTCACACGATACTGCACTACCGTAGAACGTCAGATATATCCCAGAGATATAGATTTATAAGCTAAGATTTATAAACAATACAGTTTAACCTCCATTTTCCATGAAGATTGATTTGATGTAATACTACGTCAATAACAGTTAATGGGTTAAGGTCACGCTAACGGGTGGCCCAGATAAAACCGGCCACTTGTGTGCGTTATTTTTGAGGTTCTGTCCAATAGTTCCAAGGATTCTTTTTAAAGTCAATCGATAGAGAATTGAATTCTCTACAAAATCTATAATTTTAATCTCTGATAGCGTTTTTCCCGTTTGAGCACCATTCAATATTTCGCATGGTGCTGAGTTGTCGAACTGCGACTCGCCGGTCGACGGCTTCTTTTTGAGATTTTTATCCCATTGTCTGAGGTTCAATAGTTAATTTTCTAGGTAGAAAGATAGAGAATTTTGTGCTCTATCGATCTGACTGATATACAACTTCATACAATATTTTCGCTACGTTAGCTGGAGTCAAAATTAGTTCTTAATCGGCTTTTCAATTTTTTCAAATTAAATTAATTGTTTTAATTAATGATTTGAACTGAGAAACTTTCTTTATATATAAAAAATGCAGAATTTAATTCCGTGTAAGATGGTAAGTCTATAACCCTGGATTCAAAACGCGGTAAATAAATACATATATCAAGTATTCCTTTTCTCGCTCAAGCAAAAATTATCTGTGAGAAAAATCTAGATACATTTCGTCTGTAAACGGGCGATGCACGATTAGTTGTCATCTAGATCGCTAGTTGGAAAAGGGACTTTTAACTAGATGGATCTGCACGTGCAGCTAGCGATAGTGAAATTGATCAATTATCGAGAGATAAATCGATAGTTGCAACTGCGAGAAATTTAACAATCGCTCGATTACTAGATTTCCACTATCGTTATCAAATAGTTCTAATCGAGTAAAAATCTAGTAATCTAGATAAATAGGGCGATACTAGATTTTGATGCCTTGGGCGCTATCGAAAATTAAATGAGTAGACTAACTATTTTAATTTTATACGCATTAAGGTTTAACTCAAATGTGCCAGAAAGAGTAACATTTTGTTCTGTTTCCCGCACTTTTTCAAACGAGACGTTGATCGAAAAATAGGGACAACATTTGATGGCTCTATTCTTGAAATAAACGACTATAGTACGTTTTAGGCCCTACTCGGTGGGGCTTTCGGGATATTTTCATTTTTTTCGTAATTAAAAGGGTATGAAGTCTAAAGAAATTTGGTATACCTAATTTTGTATGGAGAACCGATTGAGACTATTTTAACAAGAAAACAGTTTAGCTCGGTAACGCCTTTTCGCAGTATGCTCGATTCAGTAAAAAGGTCTCTCTTAAGCTTTCAGTCAATGACAGGAAAATGAGTATCACAGAACGCACCTTTCGACTTAAAAATGAAGTTTAAGACATCAGTTCTACTATTGTAATTTCTGTTGTAAACTTATATGAAAACAAGCAAGTAACTGAGTCTATTTAATGCTTCTTTCTAACTATCGATATTTGAATGACATTGACAGCTCATTCTTGTTCGAATATACTATAGCTTAGTTATCATAGACTTTGGCTAAATCAAGTTTACACAATGACAATGACAGGATATTGAATACTTTTATTGAATATTCAAGTGCTTTCTCATAATCTTCAGTTTTATTATAAATGATTCCCATGGAATTAAGCCGACCTAAGTTTGTATGTTCACAGCAAGACTGCCGTTGAATTTCAATGGCTCTCTCATAAAACTCCAGTGCTTGATTTGTAACCTTCACGGCAGAAAAATATGGTCCCAAAATATAACAGCAGTGGACCAATTCTGGATGCTCGTTTTTATCCTCAACAAGTTTTTTAATTATTTCTAGCTGTCTATCGTAGTAATCTTTTGCCTTACTATGAAGTGATTTACAATAATAAATATGACCAATTGTTTGCAGAACATATATCGAAAAAATACCTTCAGATGGGGTTACTGTACTTTCGAATCATCTTTTTACCAAATCTGTGCGATCACGGATAGCTGAGAACGAGTGGCTGACTGAAAGGAAAAAGTGAATCTAGAAGCAAGAAGAACATAAGAATTTTTTTTTGATGAAACAGAATAAGCCGCTCCGAGTTTCACTCGGTCGGCTTAAAAAGACCACGAAAGCGCGTCTTAACCTGCGTACACGCTATATATAACGTAAGAAAACAAAAGGGAACACAAGACGAAAATATAAGAAAGTCACTAGTTTTCACAGTTCTAATATCAAAAGAGAAGGAAATTATTTTTAGATAGTGGCGAGGAATCGTGTGAAATAAAGTTTTATTTTCTACAAGTACATTAAGACACGCTAAAACATTATGATACAAAATATGGTATTAAGATATCGATAGATGATTCACAATTCTGGTCTTTACTAACATTCAAAATAAAAAGGTCATGAGTTTTTCTCGTCCAACATTTTGAGTAAAAAAAGCTCAGAGACTTTGACGAGATCAGACACGCATGGAAAGAACAAGTAAATAATTCACCGTAACACTACATCATTCGCGAATGAGAAAATACATCAACAATAGGAGAGAAAATCAACAAACTTGCGAGCGCGATTGATAATTTGAAGTGTTCTTCTTCTATTTATGCTTGATTTCTTTGGTAATATAATCAGCGAAAAAACGATCAATATCTTATTTTTATGATATTATTTGCACCCATAAGAAAATCTATCTGATTTATTCTTATCCTCGAGCTATTTTATAAAAACTGAGGAAGAAAATAACCGATGTAGTGTCATCCATCAATAAACATAACTGGTAAACATATACATCAAGAATTTCTTTTGTCACTATCAAAAATTAAACGAGTAAACTGACTGCACTACACATATGAGGCGACCAAAATTACATATCTTCTACTCTCATCATGAGTAGGAATGGAAAAATGATAAGTTTCAAGTACTTTTCATCGGCTGCAACCATTTTTTCCTATCACCAGTAATTAAAGACAGCTGCCTAATATACAATGATCTTTGATGATCTGATATACAATGATGAATTTTCAAATCTTCTGATAAATCCAGAAAGCAACAAAAACCTATTCATTGTTATATCATTCACTGTTCTTTCTACTGCACTACCCATGATCGACAATGCCTCCCGAATCATATATGTTTATATTTACAGCAAACAGGACGAGAAAGAAGACTTTTCAAATATCAGCCAACTCTGGTATGAATCTGGCGGTTCATTTAAGGAGAAAAATGCACTTCTGATCAAATTAAACAAAAGACATTACACAGCTATTTGGAACAGAAATGAGAATAATCCCGATGCCAGAGTTCTCGGAAATAACTGAAACATCAGCACGAAACTTATACAAAGAAAGTGGTACGTTTATGTGGACTCAACTGATAGTTAATCTGTTGCTTTCAATGTCGACTGATTCATCTGCAATGAATGAATTAATAGAGAAATGTCGTCGTAGTGCAAGAAAAAATTGATGAATTTGTACGTATTTATCAGCCACAAAATACTGTTTCCTGGTACACAAAAGACACCTTCTATCGTTTACTGAATAAAGCGTTTCGAACACAAGATTTCAATAAATATATCCATACCGTTTATTCATTATCGATTTACATAATCAATTGATAGAATTACACTTGAAATTTGCGCCGATTGTTCTAGGTGGTAATCATTCTCGGATTGTTTATCGAGGACAGTTGATGTCGAAGACAGAATTTGGCAACATGAAAACTAGTACTGATAAACTAATTTCAACACATACATTTCTATCGACAACAACTAACATTGATGTTGCAAAAATGTATTCAGGATATAGTGCTCAGGAATCACTCCTATCTGTTCCATTTGAAATCGAAATAACTTCGAGATTCAATTGTAAAACGGCGTTATTTGCCAGTATTGAATACTTCAGCCAGTTCCAGAAAGAATGTAAAATACTGTTTACCATGAATGCTGTTTTTCGATTAATATCAATTGAAAAATTGGGAAAAGAAGAAATATGGCAGGTGAAACTGCTATTAGTTGAGCGTGACAATGAACTCGAAAGTCAACATATTACCACATTAATTCAACAGAGGAAAAGCAGTTTTTGTGTGACATCACCTAATCATCTATTTGTCTTAGGTGCTTCTTGTTTGGCAATGCTCGACAATGGCAATGCGGAAAAATATTTCATAAAAATTTTGCATCATACTCATTCAGTAAACGACGACAATTTCGAATTGATGGCAAAAACTTATGAATACTTTGCCCTAGTCTATAAATATCAAACGAACTATGAAAAAACATTAGTTATGTTAGAAAAGGCATTGAATTTCTATCTGACTCATTTTAGGACAAATTATCTTCTATTAGTCGATGTGTATGATAAATTTGCAGCTCTTTATCAAAAAATGAAAATTTCTACTGCTTTAGAAAAGTATTATGAATTAGCGATTGACATACAACTACGATACAATTCACCTAAATATAAGCTAATCAGTTTGCTCAATAACTTAATTTCATTTTACAGAGAAATGGGTAATTATGAGAAGGCATTCACAATGTTTGAAAAAGCACTGAAATTAAATTATCACACTTTCCCACCGGATTACGCATTACTCTCTCAAAGTTTTACAGCCATAGGACGCCTGTATTTAGATAAGAATTACGACAAAGCTTTCCATTATTATTCAATAGCTAATTACGCTTTGATCAATCGATTTTTATTTGTTGGTTCTGACTACTCTACTATGAGTTTTATTTGTTGGCTGAAAAAAGACTATCAAAGTGCGTTGGCTTACTATGACAAAGTATTAGAAATTTATTCTAAAACTGAGTTTAATAATGATAGTAACTCTTTTGTTGAACAAGTTTGCATTGTATTGGAGACGTTTACTTTGATACATATAATTATACGAAAATTTTGTTGTATTATGAAAAAGCATTTGATATATGTACAAAATCAAACTGGATAACAGGTGTGGCGTTAGGAAATATTCCAGTGAGTCTAGTTAAAACCTATACGGTACTTGGTGATTATACGAATGCTCAAATTCACTGTAAGAAATTGTTAACTTTGTATTTAAGTGAAAAATACAAATCTGAACACTTTAATGATGATGATAAATATTTTCTTCATCTATCAAATAATTATGTGTTAGTTATTAGCTTATACAACGATATGGATAATACTAGAGAATGTTTAAAATATTCTAAATTAGCACTTAAAGCTCGATTAAAAGCTCTAGAGAATAAACCGAAAGATGATATTCTACATTGCACCTTAGCATTTATACAGGCACTGTCGAAGAGGGAGATTATCAAACAGCCTTAGAACATGCATTAAAGGCGAATGAAGTTTATGAAAGTTTAACGGGTGCATAACTTAATCAAGCAGAACATTATTCCCTTGTACGTTATAAGGTGATAGCGTTGAGTTATTTACGTCTCGGTAAATTGGACATGGCAGTGGAATATTATCAAAAATAATTGTCAGTCATATTAAATACAGAACCAATGGAATCAGGAGCAACCCTTAGAGAACGTACTTGATGCAAGTACTTGATTACTTGATAAGTACTTATCAATGATCGAAATACCTGCCTTATTGTTAAGAAGTACTTTTTGAAAGTATTTACAAGTAAATTTACTTC